TTGACTTACAAAAACATTTAATTTTCCTGCACTTTTGTAAGCCAATATGAAGCATTGCAAGCATATCTTTCCCACCTAGTTGTACAACCTACAATCACATTCAAGTACATCACCTTTCATTAAAATGTAGCTACATATCAATTATGATATTTATCTATTCAATAAGTTTCAAGTATAGTTTGATATGAACTAATTTAAGGAAGACTTAACACTGCAAATACACTACATGCTATAAATTCATAAGAGATTCATATTGCTTGCCAGGGACATTTCTCTACTCTTACTCACCAAAAAAGAAAAAGTAGAAGCAAAACGACCAACACTGGAGGCAAAACAAATGAGATATATTCATATTGTTTACTTAGAAGGCATAAGCACACTACTGACAATAAAAAGCAAGAAAAAATATCAAAGATGATGGCTTTTCAGTATAACACAAATATAAGATGTATTATCATTCTAGAAAAATTAAGATCTAAAATCAAATAGATTAAAAATGAATCAAGTTCACAAATTTTCCAAAATCAGATTTTACTTTTGTTACCTACCAACATTTTAATTACCAAATATTTTATTAATCATCAAAATCAGCTCTTGCATCTCTATATATATGTAAAAAGAACAAACAAAATGCATAGCTTATTATAATAACCATCAAAATCTCACAAAATCAAATGTGTAATTTCTCAATTGAATATACGGAGGACACAAAATTATCATAGAATAATTGCTATATTAACTCCATTTTCAAAAGAAGAATTTGCATAATACATGATAAACACTAAAAACATAGTTGAGTATGATAATCACGGACCAGATCGAGTCACCTTTGGTAAGATCATTGATAGATCAACACCAATATAGCTATCATCAAAATCAGCTCTTGCATCTCTATAAATATGTAAAAAGAACAAACAAAATGCATAGCTTATTATAATAACCATCAAAATCTCACAAAATCAAATGTGTAATTTCTCAATTGAATATATGGAGGACACAAAATTATCATAGAATAATTGCTATATTAACTCCATTTTCAAAAGAAGAATTTGCATAATACATGATAAACACTAAAAACATAGTTGAGTATGATAATCACGGACCAGATCGAGTCACCTTTGGTAAGATCATTGACAGATCAACACCAATATAGCTATTTCTAACTTGCTTCATTTGTTCAGTTAGATAAATTTTGCTTGATTGAGTATGTACCAAGCAAGAGTCTCAGAGCCTCCATGATAGTGTCCCTGGGTATGTTCCCATATGGCTCCTGCAGGAAGCTGACACTTTTAAGAGACCTTAACATGTATTATTGCGACAACTAAAAAGTCTATTTTCATCTAGCTATGACACAATAACAGACGCATCAGAAGTTGCTAGCAGATGAATTCTCTAACATTCCTTGGTGTAGCATACAACTTCAGAGCTATGATTCAATGTTTCAAGCTTTAAAAAATTACACAAATATTGGAAATGCATGCTGCCATGATCCCGCACTACACCAAAGACCACTATGGATATTTGTTGATTATCATATCTAACTCTCCAGCATAGCATGTAAACTAATGAAGTTCTAGGTGATACGATAAATGTGTAAAGTAAATTAAAATAAATACCTCCAATTTGATAAAATAAATGCCCTCGAGATTTAAAAATCACCCATATATCCTCCTCTACTTTATAGATGGAGAACTCGGCATTTTAGTGCAGTCTATGGCCGTCGTATTCTTCAGGCAAAGGCGATGTAAGGAAAGGGCAATAGCGGTTATTTTTGAAATAGCACGTTAGGGCGAAGAACAGAGGCGATGTAACCCAACAGTCATTGTCAACATATAAATTTCTCAGAATTAAAAATCTAAACAAAAAGAAATTGATATAGCACAATAGAAGTAATTTTTTCAAGCATAAATATATGTAAAGATCCATTTAAAATTAAAACCCAACATTGAAATAAAATTAATATTCTGTAATTGTAATCAACTGAGTGGATGCTCTAATATTAGTCATTATCATCTTCAATGTAATCAACTTCTCCACTCCCTAATTAAAAAACAAACAAAACATATTAAAGCTACATCAGTCACAGGCTAATTCAATCACTGTCTAATTCACAACCGCTATTTTTTGCGGATACTTCTACTATGAAAACATGTATATATATATAATATATATATATATATAAGTCATACATGCAGATTGCTTGTTCAATTAAATTATTGTTGAGGTTACTCCTTTATAATGATAGTAATATTCACATCTACACTTTCGCCTGTTAGAAACGTTGTAGAGAACTAAATAAATAATACAAATTTCAAGATACTTACGAACAAAAATAAAAATGTATGAAGTCGTACAACTTTGCTTAGAAATTGTAAACTTAAAGTAGAGAAGGGAACATGATATATAGCAGAATGTGCTACCTGCTGAAACTAAAAAACACTACATTCATAAAGCTAAAAAAATCTTGAAATTAATAACTCTTTTGGTGAAGGCAAATAATAGTTGGTACAAATGATAAAATTAGCTACAAATTCAAGATAAAATCAGCTACAAATTCAAGATAAAATCAGCTACAAATTCAACTTTAACCACATTCATAATTTCATATATTTGCACAGTTTTAACATAACATAACTCACAATTAGCATATCAAATGAAAAGTAAAATAATGAAGATTTCGGATCAAGATCAAACCTTTGTATAAGCTTGAAATTTAAGTTATATGAAGTAACTTGCATTAAAATATAAATCAAGCAAACCTCGAAAAAGGGAAACATAGAGTAATAACACTTCCTCCTCATGCAAACCATTGCCTATCAATTCAACATAAGCTCATGTCACTCCTCAACTTTCACCAAATAATTAAATAGTTAGCCCATGAAACTCCTCATATTTAATAAAAAATGATGCATGATCTACTAAAAAATGACAGTGATCATCTTTATTACTAAGAAAATAAATAACTATAATCATTTACATAATAAACAAATGATACTAATCAATAAATTAAAATCTTTAAAAGTGGATACAATTAGGATTCATTACATCATAGAGATACATAAATATATAAATAGATTGTTGGATTTATGAATGATATAGGAGTGATATAATTAAGCTTTGTGCTGTATCATATCTGGAAATATAGTTATTTCAGCAGTTACAACGAAAATAAGTAGCTAATATTAATTAGTTCTTCAATATATTTCCTCTAACATGTTCGAAACCCATCAAATTTTAAATAAAATGAGAGAGGGTATAACTAATGACTAATAAATTAAAAATGAAAAAAACTCATCATTTAGTTTGGAGTAACAATTTAAAGTTCCATCAGATTTTATTTTTTTAACAGTTCAATTAGAAATAAAATAAATAGGTTAAAATGACAAAACCCAAAAATCAAATAGACTGGTAAATAAAGTAATTTTTCGGGAACTAATAATATTTCTCTGAACTGATTTGAAGTTTTTTTTACTCTTTCCTAATCATAATATAGTCTTTGATCATATTCTTTTGAGTTATAATTGCATCAAAATGAACAAATCAAGTATAAAAAATTACTAACATCAGTTCTTAAATATCAGATTTTATTTGAAGTTCTTAAAGTTCAAAAATTACTAATTCCATTTAAATTTCAGGGTAAATTGTAGACAATGTCCTTTCATCCTGCACTTATTAACCTGAATTCAAATTTTAGAAGAATAGATTGCAGATAACCTCCCCTCCCTTATAAATTATGGATTATCGGACCATTTACCCTAAAATTTAAGCACTAAAAAAGTACAAAATACGAAAATCATCAAAATTTTCTCACCGAACCAGTAGCGATCAGGCTTGATCCGAGTATTAGGAAGCTCCTTCGACTGCAACTCTTGGTTCAATATCCCCGCCTTTCGATCTCTCTTCGGTCGATCTTTATACAGCTTGAGACGGCGAACGGTGGCGGCGGAACGATTGCCCTTATCAACGCCTCTGCCATTGCTGCGGTTGGCGTCGAGGGAGTGCTTCGTCTTACAGGAGACATCGACTTTCTTCTCTTTTCTCTTCGCCATGGCCAAAAACCTCCAAAGCTTCTAGGGTTTTGGGTTGTGAGGAAGGAGGAGAAAGAATTCGCGGCATTGCTCGGTATTTATACAGATATAATGGGTCCTCCGTTGATTTGAGATTTTGAGAGAGAACCCCGTTGATTTGAGATTTTGGGCAGAAGGGGAAAGGGGGGGGGGGGGGGGGGACGGAGGGTGAGACTGAGACGGAGGGATTTCGTCGAGAGAGGCTATAAAGGTGAAGGGGTTTCTTAGAATTCGAAATTTGAAACTTAAATTTTTACTGTTCATACCGCATATATTTGTTACGAGGTTAAAAGAGAAGGTTACTGTAGCAGATAAGAAGAGAGAGAATTACTGTAGCATGAACAGGAATTCTTTGATCCTCCCTTTTGTATAAAGGAGTAGATTCCATGGATTCTGGCTTCGTGAAGTTCACTGCACAAACTTCTAACATAACCTTCCTGATTATATTGCATTCAGCTTATTTACGTTTCAAGATGATTTTCAGTTTTTGTTAAATTCAGGTTGTGCGATTCACTTTTGATGTGGAAAATAGTATTTCATGCAGATGAAATTTCTACTCGTAGTAATGTGAATCTTGTTCTTTTTACTTTTTGTTTAGTTCATACTTGGTCACTTCGCAGTCTGTGTTTTCTTTAGTAATGTAGCATAAGGAACATATGGTTGCACGTGTTTATATCAACGTAGTTGTCAGCTGACATGTCTCGTCATATCTAGATAATGGATTCATGAATAAGATGTTTCTTATTATTAGTTTATGACCCAGTGTAACTTAATTGGATCAAACTGATAGTTTTGAGTTCTTATTATCCAAAACTGATACACCTCGATGCTAGCCTGTAGCTTAGGTGTAAATTATGGAACAAAATAGAAATAAATCCTCATGAATTTTCAGAACCGTCTGTCATTTTCTCATTTTCTCTCATGTGCTTGCAGAAAGGTACAATCTTCCATTATAACCCCCGAGAACACTGAACTCATACGGCAGTCTATTTTTACCCTTATATACACATTGAAGAACATTGAGGTGATAAATTTATTTACCTTCTCTCACAGTTCTCTACCTCAATTAAGCAGAATGTTTCATAACAATCATTTATTTGTTTGTTCGTTTCAGGGTATAAGCTCGGATATTTCAGGCTTCACAGGCGATGAAGCGACTAGGAAGAATCTAAAGTTGCTTATCAAGTCACTAAGCAGACTATTGTAGGAAATCTTTAACTCCATTGTAAATTTATTTGGGCATATACACAATGGTCAGTGGCATTTTGAGACCAACATATATTAGCGAAGGATTAAGGAGCATCTAAGGTTTGTGTGTGTTGGTTAGACTTTCGGGTACTTTATATTCTTTTTTTAGGAAGACAAAACTTTGATGTCTAGACTGGTAACCCCAGATTTTGGATGAAGTGGGGGATTGTGTTTCTCTGAAATCTTTAATTGGCAAATTGGATGTTAAGAAATTGTGTCGATCTCCAAAGTGTAGTTCGTATTATACTGCCTGAACCTTATAACATGTGATAGTTGTGGTTGTGAGTTAAGAAATTTGATATTGAAGAATCCTAGCAATTGTTTATACTTTCATTGTTCTTAGCAGGTTCAAGTATATGGACCTGTTTGCATATTGATTCACAATTATATGACAATACGATTATTCAAGCTTCGGATTTAATAAGTTTGTTCAATCTCTGATTCGAGTTATTCAAGCTTCGGATTTAAGTTTGTTCAATCTCTGATTCGAGTTTATGTGTTTGATTGCATATTTAAAGCATTGTAGTTGATCGCTCTTGAGGTTATCATGTAATTTTGTTGGAGTATGATATATGCAATGTGGTGAATTCACCGGAAAGTGAAACAAAGTGAAAATAAAAAACATTTTATCTGAACTTAGTAGCTCTAAACCATGCTATTCAACATAGTAGCAAAGTGATGAATTAAGCAGAGTTCAACTTGAAGTTGTGGTTGCAAGGTTTTCGAACTCCAATCGCTAACAACTTTAAAACCCCAACACAAGTTCAAAATATCGGCTTCCCTCACAACTGTAATCATAAATTGCAAAACCTAATACAGAATCGAACAACTAATTGCAACTACTAATGACAACAGTGTTGCATTCAACAAGGATCTAACGTGTGTTGTGCCAATTATTGGAAACACTAGAGATTTCCGACCACAAAAAAAAAAAAAAAAAAAAAAAAATTAACCAAAAAAAAAAAAAAAAAAAAAAAAAAATCTTTTATCCCTCATTGTCTTGCCAAGGGTTCCCTCATTGAGCAAACAAATAATGTTGCTGCAATCCAAACTAAAATTGTAATCGAGTTGAATCTGTTCCTCCGAAGCAACAAGCAACAGGAACCATTGGATTGCCTAGAAAATTAGTCAGAAGTAGCGGCCCCCTGGTTAAGTTCGGCGAATCTCATCCCAACCCTCATTGAGTGCTTCAAGAACTTCTCAGCACATCGGCGAACGCATGTTTCTTCTTGTTTGTCAAGTGACTTGCGCTTAAACGAATCTATGCAATCGGTGAAGCATCTCTCTACCAGTGTATTGTACATTCTCAAGCTGCAGGATAAAAAACATAAAAGCAAGTTACCGACTTACCCTTCTAACAATTAACCTGTTAGCCTGTTTCCTCTTTGCTGATAAACAATAACAGGAATTCGCAAGAGTCTACAATAAAGAAGTACGATACAACAACATTCCAGATTGTTTATAAGAATTCATTCTCAAAGGTATAACCAAGAGAGTGAAGAATAGTAAACTTACTTAATCATAGGAGGTTACACCATTCAGAGCTTCAAAGTAGAAGCTCGCTCCGGTAACCATAAATGAATTGTAACACTTTATAAGGACCATTCTAGAAATTACTAGCCAGGGTTGAAAAACATGGGATAATTCGTTCGGGTTTTCTCGGTCCAAAGTAACAAATTCTGGTGTTGGGTAAACCAATATCTCATGATGTTTGGAAAAAAAAAACCTATTCCCTTGGGAGCTTTTTAGGACTGTAAATATCTACACCATTGTAGAATGCTGACTATGTATGAAGGGAAAGCAAACCAAGGAAAACTCGGTAACTCAAGGTTGGAAGATTTGCGGAGGATTATGCTCCTAACCTTAAAAATTATTCATCACATGTCTCCACTCCCCTCAGAGGGATGACAATAGATTTGCTAACAGAAAATTAGATAATACAAGGATGCCAATGCATTCAGGAATTTAAGAACAGAAGGAACTCTAGCTTCTTGAGATTTGAGAGTGCTAGTAGTCTATGTCAAATGGAGGATGGTGAGTATACATCGGATTGATTGAATATAAAACCCTCCGTGTAAAGTTTCGTGTTACCATATATCAACTGAGATTTTAATTTAATTTAACATGTAAAGGCTATCACTTAGAACCTCAGATTAGCTTAGAGAAAATAAAGTGAATCGTACAAGCCCTTGTACATGGTAAAACATCTAAACTTGGTATCAGTCAACTAATTCATGGAAATATTGCGTGAGATTAGCCGCATTCATCGCCATTATTTTCTGATCAAATTTATTCATGTCTAACCTCGGCATATCAACTTAAGTGACGCTGAGGAATGAAAAAAAAAATCCAGAGAACTTTTGCACTATTAATTTGGCACTGAAGAGAATCGAAAAAGATCATATCTTTATTAACAACTAGCATGAATCTACATGGTAACCATATCCGTCACCATTATCTTCTGATCAAACTCTAAATTGTTGCTAAATTAATTAAAAATGGCAAAAAAAAAAGATCATATTTTGTTCTGCAATTAGCATGAATCTCCATGAAATAACTCTCTCTCTATATATATAAAAAATAATACAAAAAAACTGAATAATTCGTAGAAAAGACTGATCGAGGAAATCGAAAAGGGACCTGTCGCGGATCTGGAGTTGCTCGATCATGGTGGACATGCGAGCCTTGTCCTCCTCTGGGAGATTGTCCAGGTCTCCGAGCAAGCCCTTGTCCATTTCTCTCTTTCTTCCAGAAAAAAGATCGCTCCTTTTTCGATGCCCGTAGGGTTTAATTAAGAGAGAATAGAGGAGAAGGGCGAGAGATCTGAAACCCTACTCTCCTCGGATTTTGAGCAGGGAGCGAGTTTTCACCGATGTTTTTTCTTAATTTCTATGGGCCAGGCTGTATGTTTAACTTGTTCAGTGGCCCATATTGCGAAATGGGCTTCTCAATTCTAGTTGCTCCCGCCAAATATCTTTTTTAGAGTAAATATCATGGAATTTTATTTATGACTTGAACACCACCACAAAGTTTAAGGTAGACCTAGTGAATATCATAAGCTTCACACGATTTTCAAATAAATATCATTCTCTTTTAGTTAACACCATAAAACATACACGGGGAATATTTTTGGCAAAAATTTAAATATATGGCATTTTGCTCTTAAGAATTTGTAATATTTGTTTACAAAGACTTGACGGTAGGGGCGCACAAAAATACCCAGTTACCAAAGTCTGTATCGGATAAGAGCAAGGGCAGCAAGCTCTGAAGGAGGCTCTCAAGGCTGACGTGGCCGTGGAAGTTGGCAGCACCCCCTCCAGCAAGCTCCTAACCCCTCCCAAGCCCCTCTCCTAAGGCTGACATGGCTTTGGGGTGCTTCCGAGCTCCCAAGCGCTCCACAAATTTGTGGAGCGCTTGAGAGCTCCCAACTGGCCGGAATTTAACAACCCCCCCCCCTCAAGTACACCTTTGCAGATCTGCCCAAAATTGAAGCAAAAATCCAACCTTTTCGTCTCAAATTGATGAGATCGGCGGCGGCAGACTTCACCTTCGTGGGCGGCTGGTCTTTACTCCGATGGGTGGCGGTGGTTGAGTCTCAGAGACCGCGGGTTGGGGAGCCAGAGATCCGATGGGAGGCGGTGGTTGAGTCTCAAGGTCGCGGGTTAGTTTCGACGGGGGATGAAGAGGCGTGGCTGTGGGGTTGGGGAGAAGAAGAGGTCTGGTTTGGGTTGGGAGATGAAGATGCGTGGGTTTGGGGGAAAATGAAATTCGTTGGAAGAGATTGAGTTCGTGGGTTTTGATGAAGAGTTTTTTTTACTGTGTTTTATTTTAATGGCTCCACATCCATAAATTCACAATGAAAATGACAGTTGAGTGAAAAAATGAACCGTTGAGTGTAATAAATGAGACTGAGTGAAAAAAAATGAACCGTTGAGGGTAAAAAATGAACCGTTGAGTGAAAAAATTTCTTACCGTTGAGTTATGAAAATGACATTTGTGGGCTCCATTTTCTTGTTGTTGAACAGTAAAAAAACCTCTATAAATTCATAATTCACAATCCACACAACTTTCTCATAAAAAAAACTATATATTTTCCTATAAAATTACAAATCTCATGGATCCCTCCCAAAACAACTATTATTCGTAACTCCTTACCGGTGAAGGATCGACCTTATACTCGCCGTTCTATACAGAAGTCGTAGAAGAAGGTCATCCCATCGAGTTATCGCAATCCGCAACACAACAAGTGTCATCCCAAGAAACACCGACCACAAAGAAGAAGAAGGCTTACACGCGGTCCGAAAATTGGACTGTCCACGAGGATAAGCTTCTTGTGTCTGCTTGGCTGAACACGAGCCAAGACGCCATCCAAGGCACAGGGGCAACACAAAGATAAGTTATGGCACAAAAGCTCCTAACTAAAATAAAATATTAAAATACAAAATACAAGAGGTTTAAATATAATTAAAAGTAATGGGTAAAATATTAAAATAGAAGAGGGGTTTTTTTGATATTGTTGGAGCTCCTAACTAGGAGCTTGTTGGAGCTCCATAAAAGAAGGAGTGCCTCCCAAGGTTTAATTTTTTAATTTTTTATTCTAAAATGCTTGAGAGCTCTTGAGAGCTTGCTGACTAGGACTCCCAACTGGGAGCTTGATGCACTTGCTCTAAGAAATGGTTATAGATACAAATACATAGTGAAATATCAGAATTTTGTATTTAAAATATCTAGGGAAAAATGTGTCCAGGCCCCAAAAGCAGAATGTTCATGTGACCCGCCCCCTTGTATTTTGCCCCATGTGATTCAGCCCCAAAAAGTACCATTTAATATTTTAAGGCCCCTCCACGTCAGCAGTATAAAAAAAGAGATTGTATTTTGAAAAAAAACCCGAAATTACCCCTCCACTTATCTTCCCTAGACGTCTGGTCCACAAACTACATGGAAAGTCACGCCCATTAATGCAATCTGATGGAAAAAATAGAGGGAAATTTCCCGCCCTTTTTTGAACTCTATCATGAGCAATAACTCATGTTAGTTCTAAGTTATTTAATGTTAGTTCTAACTTATTTTATGTTAGTTCTAATTTAGTTCTAATTCATGTTAGTTCTAATGTTAGTTCTAAGTTATTTAATGTTTGTTCTAACTTATTTTATGTTGTTCTATGTTAGTTCTAATTTAGTTCTGACTTATTTAATGTTAGTTCTACTTCCAGCTAGTGTTGGTTCTAATATAAGCGTTAGTTCTAGTGGCTATATTAGTTCTAGTTGAGCTCCTGTTAGGACTGACACGATACATGTTAGAATTGATACTGGAGAAGCTAGAACTAACACATCATCAAGTAGAAGTAATATGACATTTAGACCTAACAATTACGTTGGAACTAACGACTTAAATAAATTAGAACTAACACGATACCAGTTAGAACTAACACTAGAGAAGCTAGAACTAACACATCATTAAATAGAACTAACATGGCGTTTAGACCCAACAATTACGTAGAACTAATGACTTAAATAAATTACAACTAACACGATATCTGTTAGAACTAACACTAGAACTAACACATTAAATAAATTAAAACTAACACGAGCTGGTAAAAATTAGAACTAACCACATTAGTTCTAATTTATACAAAGTTAGTTCTATTTTATAACAAGTTAGTTCTAATTTTATACCATGTTAGTTCTAATTTTATGCCACGTTAGTTCTAATTTATGCCAAGTTAGTTCTAATTTATACAAGTTAGTTCTATTTTATAACAAGCTATCTCTAAATTATACAATGTTAATTCTATTCTGGAGCGTGTTAGTTCTAATCTATACCATGTTAGATCTATTCTGTAGCGTGTTAGTTCTAATCTGCACAGTGTTAGTTCTATTCTGTAGAGTGTTAGTTCTAATCTGCACAGTGTTAGTTCTATTCTGTAGAGTGTTAGTTCTAATCTGCACAGTGTTAGTTCTATTCTGTAGAGTGTTAGTTCTAATCTGCACAGTGTTAGTTCTATTCTGTAGAGTGTTAGTTCTAATCTGCACAGTGTTAGTTCTATTCTGTAGAGTGTTAGTTCTAATCTGCACAGTGTTAGTTCTATTCTGTAGAGTGTTAGTTCTAATCTGCACAGTGTTAGTTCTATTCTGTAGAGTGTTAGTTCTAATCTGCACAGTGTTAGTTCTATTCTGTAGAGTGTTAGTTCTAATCTGCACAGTGTTAGTTCTATTCTGCACAGTGTTAGTTCCGTTCTGTAGAGTGTTAGTTCTAATCTGCATAGTGTTAGTTCTATTCTGTAGCGTGTGATGGCTTGTTAGTTCTATTTTATTACACGTTATATCTAATTTATACCACGTTATATCTAATTTAAACCACGTTATAAACCTAATTTATACCATGTTATATCTCATTTATACCAAGTTAGTTCTATTTTATAACAAGTTAGTTCTAAAATTTTAACCAAGTTTGTTCTAATTTATACCAAGTTAGTTCTATTTTATACCATGTTAGTTCTAATTTATACCAAGTTAGTTCTAATTTATATCAAGTTAGTTCTATTTTATAACAAGTTAGTTCTAATTTAAACCACATTAGTTCTAATTTATACCAAGTTAGTTCTATTTTATACCAAGTTAGCTCTAATTTTAACCACGTTAGTTCTAATTTATACCACGTTAATTCTAATTTATACCACGTTAATTCTAATTTATACCACGTTAATTCTAATTTATACCACGTTAATTCTAATTTATACCACGTTAATTCTAATTTATACCACGTTAATTCTAATTTATACCACGTTAATTCTAATTTATACCACATTAATTCTATTTTATATCACGTTAGTTTTAATTTATACCAAGTTAGTTCTATTTTATACCACGTTAGTTCTAATTTATACCACATTAGTTCTAATTTATACCACGTTAGTTCTAATTTATAACAAGTTAGTTCTCATTAGTTCTAATTTATACCACGTTAGTTCTAATTTATAACAAGTTAGTTCTAATTTATGTTAGTTCTAATCTGCACAGTGTTAGTTCTATTCCTAGCGTGTTAGTTCTAATCTGCACAGTGTTAGTTCTATTCTGTAGAGTGTTAGTTCTAATCTGCACAGTGTTAGTTCTATTCTGTAGCGTGTTAGTTCTAATCTGCACAGTGTTAGTTCTATTCTGTAGCGTGTGATGGCTTGTTAGTTCTATTTTATTACACGGTATATCTAATTTATACCACGTTATATCTAATTTATGTTAGTTCTAATTTAAACCACGTTATAAACCTAATTTATACCATGTTATATCTCATTTATACCAAGTTAGTTCTATTTTATAACAAGTTAGTTCTAAAATTTTAACCAAGTTTGTTCTAATTTATACCAAGTTAGTTCTATTTTATACCACGTTAGTTCTAATTTATACCAAGTTAGTTCTAATTTATATCAAGTTAGTTCTATTTTATAACAAGTTAGTTCTAAAATTTTAACCAAGTTTGTTCTAATTTATACCAAGTTAGTTCTATTTTATACCAAGTTAGCTCTAATTTTAACCACGTTAGTTCTAATTTATACCACGTTAATTCTAATTTATACCACGTTAATTCTAATTTATACCACGTTAATTCTAATTTATACCACGTTAATTCTAATTTATACCACGTTAATTCTAATTTATACCACGTTAATTCTAATTTATACCACGTTAATTCTAATTTATACCACATTATATACCAAGTTAGCTCTAATTTTAACCACGTTAGTTCTAATTTATACCACATTAGTTCTAATTTATACTACGTTAGTTCTAATTTATAACAAGTTAGTTCTAATTTATCTATTTTATACCATGTTAGTTCTAATTTATACCAAGTTAGTTCTATTTTATACCACGTTAGTTCTAATTTATACCACATTAGTTCTAATTTATACCACGTTAGTTCTAATTTATAACAAGTTAGTTCTAATTTATACCATTTTAGTTCTATTTTATACCACGTTAGTTCTATTCTGTAGAGTGTTAGTTCTAATCTGCACAATGTTAGTTCTATTCTGTAGAGTGTTAGTTCTAATCTGCACAGTGTTAGTTTTATTCTGTAGAGTGTTAGTTCTATTCTGCACAGTGTTAGTTCCGTTCTGTAGAGTGTTAGTTCTAATCTGCACAGTGTTAGTTCTATTCTGTAGAGTGTTAGTTCTATTCTGCACAGTGTTAGTTCTATTCTGTAGAGTGTTAGTTCTAATCTGCACAGTGTTAGTTCTATTCTGTAGAGTGTTAGTTCTAATCTGCACAGTGTTAGTTCTATTCTGTAGAGTGTTAGTTCTAATCTGCACAGTGTTAGTTCTATTCTGTAGAGTGTTAGTTCTAATCTGCACAGTGTTAGTTCTATTCTGTAGAGTGTTAGTTCTAATCTGCACAGTGTTAGTTCTATTCTGTAGAGTGTTAGTTCTAATCTGCACAGTGTTAGTTCTATTCTGTAGAGTGTTAGTTCTAATCTGCACAGTGTTAGTTCTATTCTGTAGAGTGTTAGTTCTAATCTGCACAGTGTTAGTTCTATTCTGTAGAGTGTTAGTTCTAATCTGCACAGTGTTAGTTCTATTCTGTAGAGTGTTAGTTCTATTCTGCACAGTGTTAGTTCCGTTCTGTAGAGTGTTAGTTCTAATCTGCACAGTGTTAGTTCTATTCTGTAGCGTGTTAGTTCTAATCTGCACAGTGTTAGTTCTATTCTGTAGCGTGTTAGTTCTAATGTACACCATGTTAGTTCTATTTTGTAGCGTGTTAGTTCTAATCTACACCATGTTAGTTCTGTCGCAGTTCATGTCAGTTCTAGTGTATACCACGTTGCTTCTAATTTATACCAAGTTAGTTGTAACTTATAGCAAGTTAGTTCTATTTTATACCACATTAAGCGTTATTTTATAACAAGTTAGTTCTAAATTATACCACGTTAGTTCTATTTTATACCATGTTATATCTAATTTATACAAAGTTTGTTCTATCTCATATAATAAGTTAGTTCTAATTTTAACCATATTAGTTCTAATTTATCCCAAGTCAGTTCTAATTATACCAAGTTAGTTCTATTTTATAACAAATTAGTTCTAATTTATACCAAGTTAGTCCTATCTTATAACAAGTTAGTTCTAATTTTAACCACATTAGTTCTAATTTATCCCAAGTTAGTTCTAATTATACCAAGTTAGTTCTATTTTATAACAAATTAGTTCTAATTTATACAAAGTTAGTTCTATTTTATAACAAGTTAGCTCTAATTTATATCAAGTTAGTCCTATCTTATAACAAGTTAGTTCTAATTTTAACCACATTAGTTCTAATTTATCCCAAGTTAGTTCTAACTTATAGCAAGTTAGTTCTATTTTATAACAAGTTAGTTCTAATTTATACATGAGCTTCGATAGAACAAACATGAGCTAACTCTAGTTATTTATGCCATTTTTTAAACTCTATCAATAGCTAACTCATGTTAGTTCTAACTTATTTCATGTTAGTTCTAACTTATTTTCATGTTAGTTCTAACTTATTTTATGTTAGTTCTAATGGCAAGTAAGAGCTAACTTTAAGTGGAACTAACATTAACACTTTGGCTACTTGGTCTAGTGGTAAAGCTTGGGAATTTGGAGAGGAGGTTAGGAGTTCAAGCCCATGCAACTACAATATATATTTAAAGGTCTTTGATTAGGCCTTGGGCCTTGGGCCTCTTGGGCTCTTTGTTAGTTCTAGCCATTAGAACTAACATTCCAGCCCTTAGAACTAACATTGGGCTCTTTGTTAGTTCTAGCCATTAGAACTAACATTCCAGCCCTTAGAACTAACATAACGCCCTTAGAACTAACATTTATAGTTCTAATTTTCCTTGACCCCCCTTTTAAATTCACAGGTTCTTAGATTCTTTAGTCGACTTTTAATCACATTGTCTTTAATTTTTAGCTAAATGTCGATATGCCTGAAGATTCAATGTGAGCTTTTGAAAATTTCTGCTGTTAATCTCTTATACAGAACTCTGTCAATCACCAAATCACACAAGAAAAAGGCATTAAAGAAAAACCCAAACTGCTGTTCAAGAATCCAAGGAGATCTCATTTCAATTAAATGAAAGAGAAAAACTACAAAAATCCAATATCGATTCCCTTCATAAATTACAAGAAAACAAGAGCACTATCTTGATTAAGACATTGATTTGGGTAAAGATATTCCGTAACCTAGAAAGGGGAGAACAACGATGCATCAGACCAAAGCCCCAGGCTCCGTCAGCTCGCGGGTCCCCGGACCATGTTCTGTGTTTGTTGTTGAACCGACGTTCACGAGCTGTTTCTAAGATGACTCCCCGACCTCCGACTCCATGACCACCGTCCTCGCCTTCGCCTTCCACGACCTCCTCAGTCTGATCATTTTCAGCGGCCATGACGGAAGTGAGAGAGAAGGAGAAGCTGAGAGATAGAGTAGAGAGAGAGAGAGAGAGAGAGAGAGAGAGAGATGGGATGGGGTTAAAGGGATGGGCGCAGTTACCAAGCTCAATCAAATCAAAGGGTAAATTTGTAACTTTTGTTGGGTTTTTCTCAGGATCTGGTACTTTGGGGCCTTAACACAAATACAATGTGTATTTGGGGCTGAATCACATGGGGCAAAATACAAGGGGGCGGGTCACATGAACTTTCTGCTTTTGGGGCCTGGACACATTTTTCCCAAATATCTAAGTATTATCTAATTTTTTTTTTTCATATCTCTTTGTAAATCACGCCATCTGGATTCTCCATCACTCGCGCTCTCAGATACCATCTCTTTAAACCGAAGGAAGCTCCTCGGCCCCAAAAGGCGATCCCACGGTCTCTCCCCTCTCAATCCCACGCCATCTGGATTCTCTATTACTCAGTTAGGGTTTTTATAGCTCAGGATCATCATCATCATCATCATCATCATCATCAGATCCCCAATTTAGGCGGCGGAGATGCCCAGCAGCGGATTCTCTGGCCTCGTCAGCTCGCGCAAGGTCGACGTCACCATCGACCTGGGGAACCCCTTCCTCAACAAGACAGTCGATGGATTCCTCAAGATCGGAACGGTAAAATTTTCTCCTGAATCCGCTCTCCGTTCTCGGTTTAATCGAGATTTTACGGCAAATTGCGTACTGATTTGTGGTGTTTTTTTTTATTCACGCAGGTTGCTGCTTCTAGTGTTGCTGTTGAGGAGACCTACCACTGCCTCAAAAAAGGTTCTTCTTCTTCTTCTTTTAAATATAGAAAAATTAATTTTTGATTTTACCCTTTTATTCATTTATTTCTTCTGCTTCGATGCCCTGGCTCTATTTCGTTGTTGGTACTATGCAGGTAGCATTTCGAAAGCTAAAGTCGAGGATGCTGTAAGTAACCGTCTTAGCCCTTTCAAATATTGATACTTAGAGCGTTGCATTTGTGGGGTTAAGCTCGCGAGTATTCTTTTTAGTTCTTTTACTGAGTTTGTACTTCGCCTTGTGCGTGATGTTTCTTGAAGGCTTGATGATTAAGCAGTTTTTGCATTTTCGTTCATTTCGACCAAATAGTAAATAATTACTCAAAGTTCAAAATTCATGATTTTCATGAGCATAACCCAATGATTTTTGTTCGTTTTTGTTCGTTTTGACGTAATGACAAATAAATATGTAGAGTGCAAAATTTACGGTTTCATGAGCTATAAAACGTGATTTTTGTTCATTTTTATACCCAATGGAAAACAATTAACCGGAGCTCAAAATTCACGATTGTTATGAGCTATATAACCCACGTTTTTGTTCATTTTGTTCATTTTGGTTAAGCCGAGTTCAAAATTCACAATCTTCATGAGCTTATAACTCACGATTTTTGTTCTTTATCTTTCGTTTGACTCAATGTCACGTGCTGTTAAAAATTCACGATTTTCATGGGCTACGGTTCGTGACTTTTTGTTTATTTTTATTTATTTTGACACAATAATGAATAAGAAAGCAGAGTTCAAGATTCACGATTTTCATAAGCTATAACCCACGATTTTATTTTTTTCCTCTTTCAGCCAAATGTTAAGCGACATTTAAACTTCACGATTTCATGAGCTATAACCTTCGATTTTTGTTTATCTTTCTTTCATTTTGACCCAAAAAAATTATGCAAAGTTCAAATTCCATAATTTTTTATGATCTATAATCTACAATTTTTATTTTTTCGTTTATTTCGACCCAATGACGAATAACTAAGCGAAGTTCAAAAGTCACGATTTTTTCAAGCTATAACCCACAATTTCTATTCATTTTGTTCGTTTCGACTCAATGACAAATACTTTTGCAGAGTTTGAAATTCACAATTTTCATGAGTATAACCCACAATTTTTGTTTATTTTTGTTCATTCTGACCTAATCACAAATAATTTTACGAAGTTTCAAATTCACGGTGTTAGTGGCTATAATCCACAAATTTTGTCCATTTACGTTCATTTCAAGCAATGATAACTAATTTTACGGAGTACAAAATTCACAATTTTGAGCTATAAATCACGTTTTTAGTCTATTTTCATTTGTTTTGATCCAATGACAAATAATTTTGTTCATTCAAAATCCATGATTTCATAAACTATAACCCACAGTTTTTATCCATTTTCATTCGTTTTGACTTAATAGCAAATAATTAACTAGAATTTAAAATTTATAATTTCATGAGCTATAACTCACTATTTAATCTTTGTTCTTTTCAACCTAATAATAAATAATCGTGTGGAGTTCAAGATTCACGATTTGGGCTATAACACAAGTTTTTTCATTTTTGTTCATTTTGATCCAATGGCAAATATATGTGGGGTTCAAAATTCATAATTTTCATAAGCTATAACCTATAATTTTTTCTTTTGTGTTGTTCCAATGGTAAATAATTAAGCGAATTTCAAAATTTGCAATTTTCGTGAGCTGTAACCCACGATATTTATTCTTTTTTCTATCATTTTGACAACTGTTGACAAATAATTAAGTGGTATTCACTATTCATGATTTCATGAGCTATTATCCACAATTTTTTTTATTTTTCTTTCGTTTCGACCTGATTGAAAATAGGGAAAAATGCTTCCACCCCCTAGAAATATAGATCCATGTCTTATCACCCGTGTTGACTAGTTAAGGGTTAAAACCCGCTACTTTCTTTAAACTTTTAATCTACCTCCCTATGTCATTTAGCTTTAAAATTTTCAATACTATGTCTCTCTCTCTTCCCCCCTTCATCCACATGCTAAATTAGCCATTGATTGGCCACTACCTGCCATCCTACATCATCTCCCATTCTCCCTTCCCTTTGGTCTCTTGAGCATTATTTTTCACTTTTTGTTCCATTTGCTTACTCTATTTATCTTAGCTGAGTACTATTTCATTTTGATCCATGAGCTACCTTGACACCTTACCTAAATTCTAACCTAATTTTATTGCCTTTACACCAAATAAAAAAAATCTTCTTGGCTTAGTTTTCAAGAATGATAATTGTGACGCACCTCGACTTGATTGTTATGACGGGGGAGAAGAGGAGGACGTGGCAGTTTGGTGGGTTTTGTGTATGATGGGTCTGTCATGTGATGACAAGGGAGAGTAATGAAAATGATGTGGGTAATTTAGGTATTTTTAAAAATATAAGGAAAATCAGGTAGGGATATGGGGGGTTTCAAAAGAATTGTCTTTCTTAAG